TTTTTTTATAAAATGGAGTACTACTCAGCCATAAAGAACAAGAAACTAGAGTCATTTATAGCTAAATGGATGCATATTAAGGCCATACTCTCAAGTGAAATAAACAAGACACCCATGTGTAAATACCGAATAGTATATCTAGTGTGAGAAACTGAAAGTGTAAATAAGGATGAAAATGATTAAAACAAATAATTAATACTTTGAAATAGGAAAAAGTCCAAAGGGGTAAGGGTGGTGGGAGGGGAAGGGGAAAGGGAAGAAAGGAAAGGAAAAATCATGAGAAAAAAAAATGGAAATTAAGTCTGTGTAAATAGGGAAGGGTGGTGGGGGTCAAGGGCGAATAGGTAATTGAAGAAAAAATAAGAAGTAAGATACATCATGTTGAGGTACAAACACCCAATGATAAGTGTAAATGTATTGTATACCTAAAATGTACCAATTAATATATAAATTTAAAAAAAATCAACAAATAACAAATGCTGGCAGGGCTGTATGGAAAGAGGAATCCTAGTACACTGCTGGTGATGTGTAGACTCGTGCAACCACTGTGGAAATTAGTGTGAAGGTACCTCAAAGAACTAAGACTGGAAGTCCCTTTTGACCCAGCTATTCCCCTGCTGGGGATCTTCCCCAATGAATAAAAAGAATCATACCCCAGTGATATATGTACACCCGTATTCATAGCAGCACAGTTTGTAATAGCTAAAACTTGGATGCAGTCCAAATGCCCATCAACTGGAGACTGCATAAAGAAAATGTGTTTTTTTTATATAAAATGGAGTACTACTCAGCCATAAAAAATGAGAAAATAGAGAAATTCATAGCTAAATGGATGCACATTGACATGATACTCTTAAGTGAAATAAATGGGATGCACATGTATAAATACCGAATAGTTTCTCTAGTGTGAGAAACTAAAAGTGTAAATAAGGACTAAAAGGTATAATAGATCATGCGAAATAGGAAGAAAAGGGGCAAAGGAGAAGGGGAATTGGGAGGTGTAGGGGAAAGGAATGGAATTAATATGAGAAAATGGAAAAATGGAAACAAAGTCTTTGTAAATAGGGAAGGATGGAGGGGTGGAAGCTAGGGCAAGGGAAAGGGGAAAAATAAGAACCAAGAGGTATTATGTAAAGGTGCAAATTTGCAATGATGAATGTCATTATACTGTATACCTAAAATGTACCAATGATTAGAATGAATAATTGATAATGTGAAATAGGAAAAAAAATGCCCGGAGTGGTAAGGGAAGTGGGAGGGATAGGGGAAAAGAAAGAAGGGAAAGGAAAAATTATGAGAAATGGAAAAATGGAAGCAAAATCTTTGTAAATAGGGAAGGCTGGAGGGGGTGAAGGGCAGTCTGGAATGGGGAAAAAATAAGAACCAAGATACATCATGTAAAGGTACAAGTTCCCAATGAGAAATATAAATGTATTGTATGCCTACAATGTACCCATAAAAGAATAAAAAAACAACCAAAACTAGACCTATATCTCTCACCATGCACTCAACTAAAATTGAAATGGATTAAAGATCTAAGTATTAAAACGGAAACACTACACAGACTGGAAGAGAGCTTAGGTAGAACTCTTAAAGACCTTGGTGTAGGAAAAGATTTTATGAACAAAACCTCAGTTGCCGGTGAACTAGTGCAAACAGTCAACAAGTGGAATCTCTTCTTATTAACAAGCTTCTGCACAGCAAGAGAAATCACCAACAGCGTGAGGAGATAACCAAAAAAATTTTGGGGGTAAAAAATTTTACCACCTGTTCCTTAGTCAAAGGTCTACTATCTCGAATATACAAGGAACTTAGAAAAGTCAGACCTCCCAAATTTAAAGACCCAATCCAAAAATGGGCATCTGAAATGAATAGATATTTCTCAGAGAAAGAAGTGGAAATAGCAAATAAACATATAAAAAAATGTTTAACATCACTGGTAATTTGAGAGATCCAAATGAAGACAATGCTGAGATTCCGCCTCACCCCAGAAACTATGGCCATTATCAATAAATCAACCAATAACAAATGCTGGTGGGGCTGTGGGGAGAAAGGAACCCTTCTCCATTGTTGGTGGGAGTGCAAACTGGTGCAACCACTGTGGAAATCAGTATGGAGATACCTCAAGGAACTAGGATTAGAGGTCCCATTTGACCTATCTGTCCCCCTGCTGGGTATCTTCCCAAAAGAATTAAAAAATCATACCAAAGTGATATATGTGTACCCATATTCATAGCAGCATATTTTTTTAAAGCCAAAACTTGGAAACAGCCCAATTGCCCATTAACTGGAAACTGGATTTTGAAAATGTGGGTTTTTTTTGATAAAATGGAGTACTACACAGCCATAAAGAATAAGAAACTAGAGATATTTATAGCTGAATGGATGCACATTGAGGCGATACTCTTAAGTGAAATGAATAGGACACCCATGTGTAAATACCGAATAGAATAGTTTCTCTGCTGTGAGAATCTGAAAGTGTAAATAAGGATCAAAATATATAATAGATAATGTGAATTAGGAAGAAAAGGTCCAAAGGGAAGGGGAAGTGGGAGGGGGAGGGGAAAGGAACAAAAGGAAAGGAATAAATATGAGAAGAGGAAAAAATGGAAACAATGTCTTTGTACATAGGGAGAGGTGGAGGGGTTGAATGGCAGGGGAATGCAGAAAAAAAAGAACAACCAAAATATATCATGTAAAGGTACAAATTTTCAAATTTCCATGGAGGAATGTCAGCATATTGTAAAATTAATGAATAAAATAACGAAGAAAAATTTTCTCAAAGCAAACAATAAAAAGCGTTGAGAATGTTTCTTAGTGGTGTATTGTCCCTGGGTTCAACCTCCAGTACAGGGGTGTCGGGGGTGGGGGAGAGGGAGAGGAGGAGAGAGGGAGTATAATTTTAGCCAAATAAAAAGTATATTAATATTATTAAAAGTTAAAACTTTAAAGTGCAAGAAAAATGTAGCTATTAACATATTTGAAATTCCAGATGAAATATAAATTTTTCAAAAACATAAAACAAATTATTAAAATTGTCCTGAGATGTTAGGAAATCTAAGGGGATCAATTACTATAGAAGATTTTCAAATGTTAACGATCTCCATGAAAAAGCATTGTTTTTATAGATAAGTTTATTTTTTTATGGATGAATTTTACCACACTGTCAAACAGTTAAGTGACTAGGGCCGGGGATTTAGCTCAGTGGTTTCACCGCCTGTTGTGCAAGCACAAGGACCCGAGTTTGTTCCCTGGTACCACAGAAACAAAACAAAACAAAAAGAAACAGATAAATGACATATTTTCAATCATTTCAGAACATTTTAAAAAAGAAGAAACCTAACTTAGTAATGTTGAAATCAAACCACCCAAGAGATAGCATCACAATCTTGTATAATTCAATTTCATTTATGAACATTGAAAAGATAATCTTAAATATTAATAAGATCAATGCAGAAGTATATTATATAATAGAGTATTATGACTAAGTAGGTTTTAACCCATTTTGGAAGGTTGGCTCAATATTACTGTATTTTAATACATAACACTATACAAGAGAACAAGACAATAGAGGCAGAAAAATTCACAGTAGTAATATAAACAAACCCATTAATAAACCCAGCCAAATATATGTACGATTTCTTTCCAGAATTTTGCAAGATATTAAATAATAAAAAATTACCAAATATGGAGAGATGTATTCTATTGTTATTTCATGTAAGAAATCAATATTAGAAATAATTCTACCAAACATTATGTTCAAATTAGTCACATTCCAAATTCCACTGTATTTTTGTTTTGCTTTGTTTTGTTTTTGTATTTTGGGTTAATTTTGGTACCAGGGATCAAACTCAGAACCTTGCACTTATGAGGCAGGTGCAGCACCACTGAGCTAATTCCCTGGCCCTTTCCAGTAGGTTTTTGAAAGAGAAACTGACAAGCTGATTCTAACATTAATTTAGAAGAGTAAACCTGTAAGTGTAGTAAAGATTGTTTTAAAAATGACCAAAGATGTATTTAATTACCTTAACCGGTTTTGAAAATATGAAACTAGTAACTAGAAAAGTGTGTTAATGGTGCACGACCTGACGGTGGGACTAAAGAATGTCTAGAAACAAAGCCATGTTTATATAGAAACTCTGAAATACCTCTTTTCCAATTATTAGTAACTTTCTATTTCTGGGATTTATAGATCATATTCAAAGGTTGTGTAGAGAATTATTAATTTCCCAAAGTAATAAAACTACCTGAAATAATTATTTATTACCCTCAAATTGTTATTCATATTATTTTAAACTTTTCTTCCTTTCAGATGTCAATTCTCATAGAAAAAAAATCAAATATAGCCAACATTATTTTAAAGAAAGATCTTTTCAGTACTTACTGTCTCATCGAGAACCAAGGTAATATCTCTAAAACAGGATGATTTTGATCATTTTTAGTGAATCTTTTTTTGTTCTCATAGGCACTGCAGTTATGGGTCCTCCTGGGCCCACTGGATTTCCTGGAGAAAGAGGCCAGAAAGGTGATGAAGGTCCACCCGGTATTTCTATTCCTGGATCTCCTGGACTTGATGGACATCCTGGGCCTCCTGGCCTTCCAGGACCTCCTGGCCCACCAGGCCCTCACATCCCTCCTAGTAAGATATATTTTGCTCTTGTTAAGTTCTGTTTTTGTTTATTTCATTTATAAGTGTATGTACCTGAAGATTGGCATCATTATTTATGTTTTTGATTTCTAGGAGTTTCTACTGCTGCTTCTACTTTTAGGTTTTGGTGATTCTTTGATGTTTAATTTTACTCTTTAAATAATGATTAATATTAAATATTAAATAACATTTAATATTAATAATATTAAATAATATCAACAATATTATACTTTCCATTTTCTTACAGGTAGTTGTATATTTGCAGAAAAGAAACTAAAAATATGTTTTTTTCTAGCCTGTCATGCTTTCTTTAGGCTTAGTCTTGGATATGTTACAATTAGCTTGCTATTTTTTCTTTATCTAATCACAGGTGATGAGACATGTGAACCAGGACCTCCAGGTCCCCCAGGAGCTCCAGGTGATAAAGGACTCCAAGGAGAACAAGGATTGAAAGGTTTGATCCCCAAACATATTCATTTGTTTTTGAAATCTTCAGCAAAATCCCCTGTATTCATCTTTCATTCTACCTCAACCAGTCACTCCAATGTTTATACCCCAAGACCATCTCCTGAACAATAGTGCACCCTTCCATAATCTTGATTTCATGAATCTCATTTTCTGATCACTTGTTTTCTACATTGTAACTCACTACTTCTAATAACCTGATTTGAACATTATTTGACCCCTACAAAGACCTGCCAAATTTGACTATCTCTTAACTTTTGGATATCCTCTGATTCCTCTTAGCCTAGCTTAAATTCCATGATCAGTCATTCACAATCAATGCCATACTTAAGGCCCTGACTCCATTGCTCTTCTCTCACTTCATTATACTCAACTTGGAACTAAAGCATAGCCTAGGTAGTTTTGAATTTCTATCTTCTAAGCCTGCACCTCCTCTTCTCTTGAAAACTTACACCTTCTTTTCTATTCTTATTTTAAGATGCTGATATTTGTTTCTCCTTCACTGACCAATTAATAACAAGAATGTTCACAGACTACTGCCACCACATTTACTCACTTACTTGCATTTGTGTGCCAACATTATCTTAAAGGAAAATCTTTTCAGTACTTAATGTCTCATTGAGAACCAAGGTAATATCTCTAAAATAAGACCATTTTTATCATTTTAATGAATCCTTTTTTCTTATCTTAAGGACTGCAGTTATGGGTCCTACTGGGCCCCCTAAGACTTGACTTTCTGTTACTGCTTGTATCTGCCAGGCGTTTTATTTGTACAACAGATTGTCTTCCCTGTTGTTTCTCCAAGGGATTTGCTTCAAAAATTATTGCCACACCTACATTACCAATTTTCCCCCTTCTACCGGATCATCCACTGCAGCATGCAAATATGTTTTATACACCCATCTAAAAAAACCTGCAATGTTTAATTCCACTTCACCTGCTAGTTACTACTTCATCCTTCTGCTCCCCTTTTAGTAAAGCTCTGCAAAAATCTTCTACTCAGTGTTACTAGGTAGTTTCCTCATTTTAATTTTTTATATTTTTAACTAATATATGAAAGTTATAGATATTAATGTGGTACCACATAATGTCTGATACATGTATATATTATAGAATGTTAACTTAGTTTAACACAGTTATCTCCTCCAACATTTATCATTCTTTTGGTTAAAACTTTTAAAATTCTTTTTTCTAACTTTTTGAAATGTACAGTACATTATTGTTATCTCTAGTTACAATAATGTGCAATAGTTCTGCAGAGCTTCTTGCTCCTGTCTAAACTAAAACTTAGCTCCCACTGATTAATCTCCTCCCCTCACCATCCGTCTCTGGTAACCACCATTCTGCTCTTAATTTCTGCGAGATTACACCATTTTGTAGATTCCATGTAGTGAGATCATGTGGTACTTGTCTTTCTGTGCCTGACTAGTTCACTTAACATAACGATGTAATTTCATCCATGTCGCAGATAACAGGGTGTCATTCTATTTATGGCTGACTACTATTCCGTTGTGTATCTGTACCATATTTTCTTTATCCAATCATCTATGAATGACACTTAGGTTGTTTCCAATTCTTGGCTATTGTGAATAATGCTATCGGAACATGAGAATGCAAACGTCTCTTTGGCATACTGATTTCATTTCCTTTGAATATATATACCCAGGAGTAGGCTTGCTGGATCATATGGTAGTTCTGTTTTTAATTTGTTAAGGAATCTCCTTACTTTGTTCCATACTTACTGCATGATTTATATTCCCACCAACAGTGTGCAAGAATTCTACTTTTTGTACATCATCACCAGTACTTATTTACTTTTTTATATTTGCCATTGGTACTGAGGTGAGATAATACTGCATTGTAGTTTTGATTTACATTTTCCTGGTGATTGTTGATTTTTCACATGCTTGTTGACCATTTGTATGTCTTCTTTTGAGAAATGTCTATTTAGACCTGTCACTTATTTTTAAATCAAGTTATTTAATGGGCAGTTTTTTGTTGTTGTTCTTTGTTTTTTGTTTTTTTGTTTGTCTGTTTTGCTGTTGAGTTCTGCTATTGAGTTCTTTATATATTCTCCATATCAACCCCTTGTCAAATGTATAAATCCCAAGTAAAGTCTACCATTCTTTAGATTATTTCTCCACACTATCAGGCCTTTTCTGTACAGAACCTTTTTAGATTTATGTAGTCATATTGGTCCAATTTTGCATTTGTTCCCTGTGCTTTTGAAGTCTCGTCTAAAAACTCCTAGCCTGTTCCAGTGTCCTGAAGCACTTTCCTTATTTTCTTCTAGTAGCTTCATAATTCCAAGTCTTATGATTAAGTCTTTAATATATTTTGATTTGATTTTTATTGGTGAAAGTTAGGGATCTAGTTTCATTGTTCTGCATGTAGATATCAATTTTCCCATCACCATTTATTAGAATAACTGTAATTTCTCCAGTGTGTATTCTTGGCACCTTTGTTGGAAAATCAGTTGGTTATAGTTGCATTGGTTTGTAACTAGGCTTTCTGTTTTGTTCTATTGGTCTATGTGTCTGTTTGTATGCCAATAGAATGCTGTTTTAATTACGACAGCTTTGTAGTTTATTTTGAAGTCAGGTTGCAGAAGTCCTCCACCTTGGTTCTGTTTTCCTCAAAATGGCTTTGCATACTCAGTAGTTCTATAAAAATTCTAGAGTTTTTTTTCCTCTACTTCTGTGAAGAATGCCATAGTTACTTGGATAAGTATTACATTGAATCTATAAACTGCTTTAGGTAGTAAGTATGGATATTTTAACAATATTGATACTTCCAACTCATGAACATGAGCTGTCTTTCTGCTTTTTGTGTCCTTTTCAGTTTCTTTCATCGGTGTTATAGAATTTTCATTGTGAAATTTTTCACCTCTTTGGTTTAATGAATGTTTAGGTATTTTATTTTTTGTAGCTATGGTAAGTAGCACTGCTTCCTTGATTTCTATTTCTAATCTCTAACAACATATAGCAGTATTGATTTTTGTATGTTTATTTGTATTTTCCAACTTTGCTGAATTCTTTTATTAGATTTAACAGGTTTTGGTGAAGTTCTTGGAGTTTTCTATAAGTAAGATCATGTCATCTGCAAACAATGGCAATTTAATGACTTCTTTTCCAATTCAGGTACCATTTTTTTCTCTTTTAAAATTTCTCTTGCTAAAACTTCCAGAACTGTCTTAAATAAAGAGGTGACAGTAGGCATCATTGTCCTGTTCCAGATCTTAGAAAGGTTTCAGATTTTCCCCATTCAATATAATGTTAGCTGTTGGCTTATTATGAATGGCCATAATTATGTTAAGGTCCTTCCATTGTATGATTAATCTGTTTAGAGTTTTTATCATGAAGACATGTTCAGTTTTATTGAATACCTTTTCTATATCATTTGAGATGAGCATATCATTTTTCTCCTTCATTCTGTTGATATAATGTATCACATTTATTGATTTGTATATATCAAACTATCTTTGCTACACCGGGATGAATCACACTTGATCGTGATGAATAATCTTTTCAGTGTGCTGTTGGATTTAGTTTGCTAGTGTTTTGTTGAGAATTTTGGCATCTATGTTCGTCAAGGATTTTGTCTTTTAAACATAGATATATGTCACAATCATATGCTGCATAAATAGCATCTAAACCAAATACGGAACATTTCCAGGACTATTGAAGATAACTTGTGCTTCTCATCAGTATCTCAAAAATAATCAGTATTTTGTCTACTATCATACATTAGATTGGATAATCTTTAAGTCTGTGTAAATGGAATAATGCCGTATGAATTCTCGTACATGGTTTCTTTTGCTAGATATTTTAACTTGAGACATATCTATGTTTTTATTTGTAATTGTATTTTTCACTGCTCTTCATTATTTTATTGTACAAGTTCACCTAGATATCCATTCTAATGTCACTGAACACGTAGACTGAAGCTATTCTGAATAATTCTGCCATAATCATTTGGGGATATACCTGGGAATAGAATTGCTGGGTTATAGATCAGGTGTAGGTTTTGTTTCATAGACAGCACCAAATTATTTTCCAAAATGATTTTAGTATGCACTTCCCTGATGACTCATTGATGATGAGCTTCTTTTGCATGTTTTTTATATACTATTTCACAAGGTGCTTGTCTTCCCTCTATTTTTAATTTGGTTATTTGATATACGTATCCATTTTAACTATCCTATGCCATTTTGTGATTTGTTTTTATTTGTATTTTATTAAACAGTTGTTATTAATTAATGAGATAAAATTTATTAGTGTTCTGTTTCATGGATAGTGCTCTTTATGCCCTGCTTTACAAATATTAACCTATCTCAAAGATCTGATGATATTCCTCTATTTCTTCTAGATGCTTTATCATTTTACCTTCCATATCTATTTTATTTTAATTTTGTGGTATTAGGTACTTAATCTAAGGCCTTCAGACTAAGCTACATCCCCAGCCCTTTTTTTCTAGTTTTTCTTTTGAGACAGCATCCTGTTAAGGCACTAAATTGTCCAAGCTGAATTCAAACTTGCTATCCTCCTGCCTCAGCCTTCAAGTGGCTGAAATTGTAAGTATGTGCCACCCATCCACTTAAATTAATTTTTGTGTGTAGTTCAAGCAGGGATCAAAGTTCAGTAAACACCATCAATCTTCCACTGAGTTGTATTAGTACTTTTGTTGTAAATCTTAGAACCATATATACATGAGTCTGTTTCTGACTTCTCAGTTCTGTTCTGTTTTGCTGTTTGCTTCTCCTTGCACCAATACCAGACTGCCTTAATTGTGGCTTTATGTAAGTCTTGAACATTCTAGATTCTTTGTGTCTTGTAAGCATACTAGAATTATCTGGTCAGCTTTTGATTTTGAAGTGTCATAGGATTCAGTCCTTATCCCTCTTCTTTAAACTCATTCATCCAGTCTCATGACTTAATATATCTTGTTTGCCAATGTGTTCCAAATGTATATCTCCTATTGAAATATGACTCTTACTCTAGTTTTGCATATGAACTACTCACTCAACATTTTGAACTTGATGTTGATCAAGTTATAGTTCTGATTTCTTCCACTTCCTCTCTCATAATTACTCCACTCACATCTTCCCCTTTTTACTTAAAAACAGGCTACTGTAGGTTTCTAGTTGCTTAGGCTATAAACTTTGGAGCTGTCCTTGACTGCCCTCTTCTTTTTTATTCCATGTTATGACCCATGAGAACCGCCAATTGGTTTTACTTTCAAGTATGTCTAGAACCTAACCATTTCTGAACATCTTCATTGCTGTCACTTTGGGATAATCTGCCATCTGTCTCCTAGATCACTGCACCAGTAGCCTCTTAAAGAATTACCTACTTTCCATTCTTGCACTTATAACCTTAACATAGCAGTCAGTTGTGCTGTTTCTTTTGGGGGTAAGGGGTTCTTGAAATTGAACTGAGGTCTTTCACACTGAGCTACATCCCAGTCTTTTTTTTTTTTTTTTGGAGGGCAAGGTATTTATTAAGAATTAACACCCATGAAGGTAAGAGGAAGGAAGTAGGATGGGGCAGAGGAAGAGAAGAAGTTGAACTGCCATGCAGGCTCCACACTGACTTAGCCAACTTGGCAGGGAGCTCTAGAGTGAGTGTTTGGTGCCAAGCCAGAATGAATGTGTCCAGTTTGGTCAGTTGCAGAGCGTGGGCTGCTCTGGAAGGGAAGAGTCCTCCAAAGCAGCTTTCCTGAGGGCCTCCCTTACACCCCCAACCAGGGGACCAAGTCCTTCCTTGAAAGGGATTTTGGCAATGGATATTTTTTTATATATATATTTATTGCTACATTTTAGGTATAAAATACATTTACATTTATCATTGGGTGTTTGTACCAGAACATGATGCATCTTAGTTCTTATTTTTTCTCCCATTACCTGTGCACCCTTCACCTCCTCCACCCCATCCCAGTCTTTTAAAATCTTTTCTGTTTTTATTTTTATTTTTTGAGACAGGGTCTCACTAAGTCACTAAATTGCCCATGCTGGGCAATTTAATTTTGTTATCTTCTGCCTCCTGAGATTGGTGGGATTACAGGCTTATGGCAACCCCCCAGCTTCTGTTTAAATTCTTTTACTAGCTTTTCATTTTACTTACAGTAAATGCTATAGTCTATACCAGTGATGGCATGTGAGCTGCACTGGGCTGTTTGAATCATTGAAACCTCTGAAAGATTCACCATCGATGGTGTATACCATGGCTTGTAAGGTTTTTCAGGGTAAGCCACTTCTTTAAAACTGCTAATTCTCTGACCTGACTCCACATCTTTATTTTACTCCAGCAGTCTAGTCTTCTTGCAGTTCCTTGTCTATGCCAAACATGGCTGTTCTCTCCATCTAGAAACTCCATACTCATTATGCACATTATGTCCTTTAAACTTTTTGTCATATATCATGTTATCAATGAAGTCTATCCTAACCCCCTATTTAAAATTGTAAACTTTGGGGCTGGGATGTAGCACATTGGTAGTGTTTGCCTTGTCTGTACAAAGCCCTGAGTTCAATCCCTAGTACGACAAAAAAATAATTGAATAAATAAATAAATCATTAAATAAAATTGCAGCTTTCCTTTCTACTCACCCATCCCTAGCATACT